TAATAATTAAAATAGCTTTTTTCATTGTACTTGACACACTTTAAGATAGCATCTTTCTGTGGCGAGGGTACACATTACATGTATGTCTCTGTGAGTACATTCTACACTTCTCCTGTCAGGTGGTCTTTGATGTCTTAACCAGCCATCTCACTTATGAAATGAACGGTGTGCGTCTGGAGTGTCTAGAGGCTTCCAACGTAGCCAGCCCCTAGATAGAGTGCTGTCCCAATGGCTGGCAAATTCCGGCCACCCAGCGATGAGCCCCTATTCGAGGCACCTGTTAACACTGATTAAAACAAAGAAAGGAGAAAATGAAGGTTTGGATGGGATGGGGGAATAACTTGAAGCAGCCTCTATGTACAAAGCTGCTACAAATTAAAACAGCTTGGAAACACAAAGAAGATCCAGCTGTGATGAAGATAAGTCTACACTTGGGAGTCTGACAACTGATTGGAAGAGCCTGCTATGCTCATAGCATTAACATTGTTTTATTGTTATTATTATTATTATTTATTTTTAAATTTAATTTTATTATGTTTGTTTATACTTTGCAACACTTCTGCTGTTACCTTACACTAAAACAGTACAATAAAGGCTATATACACTACTTACAATATAACAGAGCTATTAACACTACTTACAATACAAGACAGCTTCTTCACCCCACTTACTATAAAGAGTTGATTCTGAACAATTTACGTACGTAACAGCAATACAGGTATTTTCTAAATTGCATATCCTTATTTAATCTATAGTAGCAATTAATCTAGAGATATAACACACTTTTCTAATACCTTTTAAAAGCATTAACTGGACAGAAAATGCGAAGAAGCATCATAAAAGAGAACCAGAAACTTGATTTTCTATTCTTAACTTGTAATTTACTTTTGTGATAAATTCAACCCAGTCAAGATTCCTTTCATTTTCCTTGTGATAATGTAGACAATAGTGAGCAAATGATAAGCAGAAATTCAGTTTCCTAAGATTGTTATTATCCTTCCCACATAGCATACACTGTACCAAATAATAATTCATAATTTTCCAGGGATATAGAGGTGTTATGCATCTCATTGAACCAGTTCAACGGCTGATTGCGAAAAGAAGTTGTTGTACTACTGTTTTGAAATGTATGAAGAACTGATTCAGGCTCACCACAGTAGAAACATATATTGTTGTCTGTAATTCCATAGAGAGTAAGTTCTTTCTTCGTAGCAACAATGCAATGGATTAGCTTAAAGTAAAATTCTCTAAGTTGATTCTCTTTGCAAATAACCTTCACTCTATCAAAGATCTGGTTTCATGGCAAGGCCGTTGGAGCAAAGTTGCGATCCCATTTCATTGGACCAGTGGCCTGGGGCTTCCGTTTATTGAGAAAAAGCCAATAATAGTCTTTA